GGCTAAACAATTTTCAGAGAATGCTGGAGGCTGGTCTAGGCAATTTTAATGGTAATATGAAAGAGCACCAAGTTCAGACCAGCCAAGATTAGTTCTGTGGATTCATAATTTGCCGTCGAGTTGTAAAAGCTGTATTGGAAAAAGCATTTGCTTTTTAAAACATCTAGCAGATAAAACATCAGTCTGCAGTGTTCGTTGCTAGCTGTTTGAACAAGAGCCAGCAAGTGAAAACAATATGTAACAGAACAAAGTGATAACTAAGCCAGTTGACCTTTTTTTCTTTTTAAACTGCCTTGTGCTATATATCTATGTATACATGATGTATACAGTGTTCCACTTGTACTGCAGTATGTTATCTTGCTACTTGAACGTCCTAGTGATTCTTCTCAGGGTTTGTATAGTAATCTTCTGCTTGTGTCCTGCTAGCAGTGCAAATGAAGCATCATTCAAGTGAAAATAGAGAAAGAACACTTGAAATGAAGATATTTTTCTGAGAGTCACGCTTTTCTTCTGATGAGTGCACTTGATAAAATATGTTCCACCTACCCGCAGCCTCCTACCTTCTCTGTGTTCCACTGATAACATGACCCACCACACTGAGACAGTATTATTTCCTGAAAGGCTGTAGGCAAGCATGATGATGAGAAGAAAAAAGAGAAACGAATGTTAAACAGAATGAGAGAGAGAGGAATTGTGCATATCTATGAGGAAATCAGAAAAAAGGAGATAATTAAAAAAGGTGGAGTGCGAGTTGGCTATGATTAGGGGGGAAATACGTGCATATTCCTTTTAAAAAGTATGCATCATAGAATACAGAGGAACAGTTCTACCCACATCATCAGTCAATTCCTATCAATTTGTGGGATATGAATGGGGGAAATGAAGATAAATTTCAATGACATTAGCGCGAGTTTCATTTTAGTATAATGGCGTCCATATTTTAGAAAATGTTTGAGAGTAGGCAAAACAATCGTTTTCAAAAGTTGAGTTAAATATCTTTGCTTAAAGAAAGGACAAAAGAAATACACAAAAATAAAAAGCGAGGGTATTTCCTTTGTGTAGAACTTAACTAATTTTAACATAATTCCAGGGACTTTTTTAACATATATCTATATAAATACACACACACTCTTCTCAGCAATTTGCCCTTTCCACAAGTATGTAAGAAAATGGTATCTAAGCAAAAATCCTTGGTGATAACACCGACAAGCAAAGCTAGTTAGATTTATAATCAGAGGACAATTTGAGACAGGAAAATTATCCTAACAGTATATATCAAAACATATGACAATTCTGATTGACTTCAACAGGGGTGGATTCCCTGCTATGTGCTTGGAAATAATGTAACTTGGAAGTCTTCCTCATTGCCAGTCATATCACTTCTTTGAGCAAACAGTCTAGTTTTAGCTGGAGCTCAACTTGAGAGAGCCATTGGCAAAAAGCCTATGCAGCAAAAAGCCTATGCATCACTTAAGTTCTTGTGCACTGATAAATTTCACTTTTTAACCTGTCCAAAAGCAATTGTTCATTCAAGTCTCCCCTTCAAAGTTATTAATGGAAGGAAATACAGCCTATTTCATGAGGTCCTATTTTATACACTCATGTTAATACATTTTTAGTCTGCTCAAAGTCTTCTGTTTTATGCCAACTGTTGTATTTTGTTTATGACAAAGTATCAGCTGATAACAAACATCTTTGGCCCTGAACACATGCTTCATTTTCTTTCTGTAATTTATATATTATTCTACAATATCTCTACTGTGAGCAATATCCCACAGGCTAAACTGAGCAAGTTATGGACCTAATGGTGATAAGAGAAAGAAGACTGTTTATTGTAAACAGATAGGTGAATAAAAAGCAGGGTGTTGGGCATCAGCATTCATGTATTTTAGCATGGTGGATGAATTTATAAGTGTGAAATCAGAGTGCTCTTGGGATATTCTGCTTTTTTTTTACCTCCAGTCACTTCTTAGTCAGAAAGTTAAGTAATCTAGTATTGGCTAATGACAACTTAGTGCCCAGTTTTGCCTGTGAGACTACATACTAAGCACCCATGCCAGACTTTTCAACCGGAATATGAATTTATCATTTGTATTGTAACACTCATCACTTTAGAAGTGATTAATTATCATCTAGAGTCTGGCCCACATCCTAGGGAAATACTTAGACCTGTAATTAACTGTTATAGATGATAAATGAACATAAAGCTTTTTATGTTTCACTCTAATCAGTACAGATTTTTCATTGAATACAGTTTAGTTCAGGACCATAGCAAATTTGGGGTGATTCACAGAATTTTCAGGTGTGGTGATGAAAATTAAAAAACCTGCAAAATAGCAACCAATCGGACATCTCTGGTACTATCTTTGACAAGTATAGCTGGTGAGAGGCAAAGACAGTTCAAAATTTACCTGAACTAGCACTGGATAAGACCCCAGATTTGTCACCCCAGACCCCAGATTTATCATCGTGTATCACATAAATTGTGGAGACATTATCTGATCTATTATGGTGGGATGTTGAAACTCTTTCAGAATAAATCATCCAGTTACTTTGTGCTGTCTGACATACCAGTTTGCACCAACTGGTACTAATAACTGGGGAGTGTGAGTTTAGTATTTAACTAAAGGAAAGTCTTGTGTGGCAGATACAGACTTTAAAAGAAAAATTCCAAGGCAAATGATTCAATAGCTTTGTTAAAAAATCCCTTAACCTTATTATTACTGAGAACATAAAAAATCATGTTAGGTTTTCATACTAGGTTTCCAACTTAAACAATTCTGTGATTCTATGATATTTCATTTAATGTTTTACCATTCTTTTTCAATCCACTGAGATGGTTCTTGCTGAAAAGTGTACTTACCTCTTCTTTAATCTTAAAACCATCCTCTTTGATGTGTTATGTCCCATCAGTCATATTCTTCTCTCTAGAATCTAATTTTTTTCTTGATTTCCATGGCCTTATTATTTTCTAGATCTCCTTTTAGCTTTCTCATCATCACTTCAGTAAGTGCTTTAGAGGGGTTGTTGTTGATATACCTGTGATCTAGTAACATGGACTGGATACCCAATAGCAGTTGAAGCACTGCTTAGAGCAAAAGCTCAGATGCAATCTTTTAACACGAGATTAGGGTTAGTTTCATCTGAAAGTTCATGAACTCCAAGACTACTCTGCATGCAAGGTACAGCCAGGTAAGTGGAAACATCCTCCTCAAAGAAACAGTGTACTTTCTGCCATGCTTCCTCTTATGCTTTGAACTGCATTTGGCAAATGCCTCTGAAAAAGCTTGAGAATTATTTAGGTGTTAATCTACTAAGGCAGAATTGACTATGCTGACTAGTTGCCTACCTCTTTTAATTAAATTGTAAATCTTTTAAGATGTCATCTTCTCTTTTCCTAACACCAATGCAGCTGGATAATAATTATTTTCTTCTAAGTGAAAATGTAGGACTATGATTTAATTCCTATTGCAGCTCATCTACTGTCATGTCTTTTCTGTTTTCAGAAAACTTCTCATGTCCTTGTTGTATCAGACATCTGGTCAGTATAGCCCAGCTACAAGCCAAGGATTGTAAGAACTGTTTCAATTAGCATAATCTCCCAGTCACAAACAGTAAAATCTTTTTCATCAGAAAGGAGAATTATGTAAGGTTGCTTCTAGACATTGTAGTAATTCTGGAGTTGTGGGGGGAAATATTTCTTTTTTCTTTTTTTTGCACTTCAAGCACAGAATTAAAATGCTTCAAATACTGTTTTATCATTTAGTACTGTACATTCATTTCATCACTGGAACACAAACCTGTATTTAGTAGAGTGGTGAAACTGGCCAGTAGTGGCTTTGATTGCTATGCAAAAGACACTGTAAGATTTGAGAATGACCACACAGTCAAGATAACAGCACTGTCAGGTTCAACTATACTAGCAAACTTAGAGGAAAAGCTGCAAGGCAGCATTAGATGACAGAGGAGGAAAAATCCCTCTATTTAAGTTCTTGTCATCCTGAAGGCTGACCAGAATGTTTTGCTCAGTTCACTCCTACGTGTAAGTCAGTGTGTCCCTCGCTTGACTAGGCTAACCTCCATGACTCCAGCCACTATTTCTTGTGCTCCTGTGTCCTCAGCCATAAAGAATTGTTGGGTGTCTCATGAGTTGGGTTGATTCTTTTTAAAGGTATTTTAGTAATAGCTATGTAAATTAGGAACTAGTGTTAAAGAGAAAAAATATGAGTGAGGGTATGGGCACTGTTCAACTGGATCAGATTCCTGCTAACCACTCAGTAGGGCTACTCACTTAAGCCCTCTGGACTTCTCTTCAGAAACACTTAGATCTTTCCCTTGACTATACACAGGTGCTTAAGGAGAATTCAGGCCACCAAAAATACTATTCCATGTATTTCTATGGGTCATATAGGTTTTGTGTGGTAGATCAAGTCTTTGGAGACCTAGACAAGAACCTTATATTTACTCTTCTTTAGCAGACTTCCTATTCTTCCAGAGCAGACTTTACTTGTTTCTGGAAAACTTTATTAGTTGATATTTAGATTTAGATTTATAAGAAGAAAAGATCAAATATTTTTCTTGGGTGTTGTCACCCTGAGGGTACTTACATAAAGACACAGCTTCATTTTTGTAGACTTTCTGAAAGTAAACCCCATTCTTTTCCTGTGCTATTTTCTCTTATGCAAAAAGTAAGGAATATTTTGTTCTAATATGGATTAGCCGCTTTGAACTGGTAGCTTTGTTGCAAAGAGTGTTCGCTACTAAGACTGAACCTCTCTGGGTCTGTTGTACATGTACATGCATAGTTTGTCCATACTTTGGGATTTGGATCTCTCAACAGCAGCATTGTTTCCTAGCAGACTCTGGTATAACAGAAGAGTAATACAGTATGTGTTGGTAAAGCCGATTTAAAATCTAAAATGGCCACCAGTGTGCCCTTTTTAGTCACTTGTTAGTCACCGTTTATACTGATCTGTGTTCCTTTTGTTTTCCCCACTCAGATGTTGCAAGAGCAATTGAGTTACTGGAGAAACTGCAAGAATCTGGAGAAGTACCAGTACACAAGCTACAGTCTCTAAAGAAGGTGCTGCAGAGTGAGTTTTGTACAGCTATCAGAGAGGTATGAGTTTGAGATTTTTAGTTATTTCTCAGACTAACATCTCTTTCCTGAAAAGAAAAGCGTATTTGCCTTTCTTTCAATGCTGGAGAGTCATGAGTACCTTGTATAAAGGATGATGGATGTGTCTGTGACTGCCTGCTACTGTGCAGAATGCTGAAGTTACTGAAAAGCAGACACATAACAGTTGCGTCAGCAAGGCATCAACCCTTAGGCAATTAGCCTTGTTAAGGAGAAGGGATGATTAATTACTACTTTAGTATTCTGCTCGAGCTGTTTCAGGGTCAGTGGTAACCTGTACAGCTGGGATATGGGGACATGCCAAGTCGGGTCAGTGCAAGCTTAATGCCTTTCCCTTGAGCTCAGGTGTGTGATAGGGATGTGCTGTGAGTGCAGTGAGAGCCAAAAGTTGCAAGTGCTGAAGTTGACTGAAACTGACAGGAATCTTGCCTTTAAAGTCAGTGCTCAGATCCTAGTGGGCTTTGCTCCACGTCAGAAATTCTTGTCAGATTGCTAAGAACTGTGATCATTACCCTACCAGCTGTGGTCAGGGCCTTCCTAAGCTCCGCCCAACAGTAGATAAATGATAATTGTTTTCTTCTAGTCAAGCTAGAGAAGATGCACCCAACTTCCTACATGCCTACAAGCAGTATCTTTAAAGCAGTTAAATTACAAACACTTCTGTTAGAAGTTCCTTAGACAAGAAATCGTGATCTGATACAACATTGTGTTGACATCTTACCTACTAAACCAAGTGCTGTTAGCCTGCCAAACAGAAGCAGCTCTAAATGCCCTAATAAAGGTAACATCTTGTTAGTAGAAAGTCTGTAAGAACTTCTGTTTTAGTTTATCTGTCTACAGTCTGGGACTAATCCTCCCTTGCTGAAATCAATGGAATCTAATGTTCCCTCAATGGTAGCAGAATTGAACTCTGATAACTAGGCAACAGCAACAAATTGATTGAGTGGACTGCTGAGTGGTTGGAAGGAAGAAAGAGATGAGCAGACATTAGTTTAATAAGCAAAATGGAGCACACTCTTTGTTTTATGGAATATATTCTCCAATGTGAGAATCAGAGAGAGGCTTCCACTTAATTAAATTGCAGTTTTCAAGGCTTTTAAAGAGAACAGTGTTCCCTGACAATAAATAATGCCACTGTATACCCTCAAAAGCTGATATTCTGACTAGTCCTTTCATTTAACCAATTAAATGCTTCTTTGAGTAACCACAGAGCATTGAAAAGTTGTGAGGTTTTTTTGTTTTGGGTTTTTTCTCAGATAGCAGAGCCTGGTACTCCAATTGTTAGAGGCAACTTTGAATCTTTGCAGTGTCATCAATGAAATCTTAACAAATTTATATTAATCTCTGGAAAACAGTCATAGCAGAAGCAAACACAAAGCTTGTTGAAACAGGTACAGAGACTAAGAATTAGGAAAGTGGCTTAGAAAAATTCACTCTCAGTTCAGTGAACTGAAAGTAGATTTTGACAAAATCATCTCAGTGCCAAGAAAGGTCTTTATAGAGTGTTGTGTAAAGACAACCTGCACATGACAGACTATCCAATTAGTGTTAGTTTCCTACAGGCAAAAAATGGACATTTTAAGGAGCCCAGAGCTAGTTGTTACACAAGAATTGAGTGATGATGAATGAGCAGTTCTACCAACTTCATAAACAAAAACATGTATTTCTTTTTAAATATTTTATATATATATATAATGTAACCTGTCTAATATATCACTATCAGAGAACAAAATTCCTACACCCTCCAAAAAATAATGCTATTCACCACTATGCATGTAAACCTCTTCTTAGAAAAAAATCTTCAAATATAGAAAGCCCAGTAACAAATCTTTTCATTTAGGAAGAGTAGGAAGATTGACATATTTACATTGCGAGTACTTAAGGTTGTTCAACATGTGGCTTCTCTTTCAGTTACTTACATTAAGCCCTTGGTAAATACTTAGGCTATAACTCTTTTTTTCCACCAGTTAAAGAGCTGTTGGAAAATTCAGAAAATAATTACTTCTGTGTTTAAAAAAAATAAATTAGAAAAGCATGGGATATTTTGGTCACGTTACATTATTAGACATCTCCAAGCACTTCAGCAAGGGCTTGGAGGATATCTGAGCTGTGTCGTACCATTAATCAGGGATGCCCTTCTTGTATGTCCTTCGTGTACTTTGGAGTTTATGAAAGCCTGCTTTATTGAACAGCACATTTTTTTCTGAGTGTATTTGAGCTTCAAATAGCTGAGGCTAGACAGAAATTTCTCTGCTAGTGCTCCCTCCTATTGTTTATCTTCTTTTATCCTGAGTGCAAGATGTGAGAGTGTGGTGACTGGATTTTATTTTCTTTATTACCACCTACATAAACTAGAGGAGAAAATTGTTGACATTATAAGAGAATGCACGGCAGTCAGTTGGAAGTAATGAGAAAAGTGGGTGTGAAGCAGACCAGGTGTGAGCTGTAGGTAGGTGTAATCAAAATGGGATGAGGAGGCAGGCTTTGTGTTAGTATGCAAATTCTGAGAGAGACTGCTTATTATATATACGCAGAGATTCAGATTTGCAGTGTGGTGTGTTCATTCTATAATGCAAGATCTGAGCCTAACTTTCATCAGAAAACCTCCTAAAAGAAATTAAGGCTGACTCGCGTAGTCCTGTAAATTCCATAATGTAGGAGCTTTGGAAAATAAAAATTTTCATTCCGGTCTGTGAAATTATAGAAACCTAACTGTCCAGTGAGTTTGATTGTTCAAATATGTCCCAGAGAAACTCAGTATTGGGCTGAGTGTAGGTGAAAAGATCAAAGATAAAACATAACCCGCATTGTATTGATTGAATGTGACTTGTCCCTTCTACAAGTAGGAATTCTTTAACTACAGAAGCTGGAGGTCATTTTAATTACCAATTAGCCTTTACAAGTGTGAGATATATTATTAGATGACATACATTCCAATCTAATGTGTAGAAATCTATCTGATGACTGTAATTAATTGTATTTATGGGAATCTATTTAGTAAAGCAAACCACCAATTCAAATCCCCACACTAATATTCCATAGAAATAAATTTTTTTTAAAGTGATTGAGTGAATGAAATTTAAATAGAAGTACTTTAGTGTTTTTCAAGGGTGCTATGTCAGGAAATGGTGATTAATGCTTCTCACTTAGCTAAATATAAGTACCACCAACTGAAATATTCTGTCTGGCACTAGGCAGGAATATGTATTAGCTCTGAAAAGAATGGAAATAACTGAAGTATGCAATGGCCTTGGTATTTCCTTTTCACCTGAAGACCCCAAGACCAGAAAACAAGTTAACCAAAGTCTGGTCACACTAAAAGTCAATTTGGAAAAAAAATTTAATTGTGCTTTAAAATTACTTATTTCAAAATCTCCATAGCTACATGAAGATTAATTAGCCTTCTATAGCCTTGTCACATGGCAACACATGGAATTTATACCATTATGTCCTTTACCCTTCCAAGTGTTCTTGCTGTGTATTTAAAGCTGCTGCTGTGTTATAGTCATCTGATTTCCAGGGGGTTATTGGAATAAATGAAGGGCTAGGCTGTGAAACTGAATGCACAGCTGAGCTACTGAGAAGTTATATTCACATGCAACATAAAACTAGACAACCTGGATTGATAAAGTTAATTTAATTGTTGTAAGTCAGTAAAAGGAAGTTATAAGAATTCTAAGATAAGGCAGATTTCTGGTCTGGCAAGAAACCTTAAAGACAGAGAAGAGAGAATAAACAATTGGACAGAACACAGTGGATAACCAACAAGAAAATGTGACATACCTTAGCAGGTTACGGGAATTTCATTTACTGCTAACATCTGATAATCAGTGCTCAAGCATTGTAACAATACAGCTTGATAAACACATGCATCTCCTGATGAGCAAAGTTTTCACAGAATCACAGAATATGCTGAGTTGATAGGGACCCATGAGGGTCATCGAGTCTAACTTCTTGCCCTGCACAGAACCATCCCCAAGAGTCACACCATGTGCCTGAGAGTATCATCCAAATGCTTTGGAACTCTTTTCAGGCTTGGTGCTGTGACCACTTCCCCGGGGAGCCTGTTGCAGTGCCCAACCACCCTCTGGGTGAAGAACCTTTTCCTAATATCCAACCTAAACCTCCCCTGACACAACTTCAGGCCATTCCCTCGGGTCCTGTCACTGGTCACCACAGAGAACAGATCAGTGCCTGCCCCTCCTCTTCCTCTCATGCAGAAGTTGTAGACCACAATGTTCTTTCATGTTGATGCCCCAGTTTCTCTTTCTGTGTGTTAAATATGTAATAGTCAAGTGTATCTCGCTTTCCTTCCAGCCTGCCTTTGCTACTCAATTTTCCATTTCAAGATTAAATCTGATGTTTTTCTGTATAGATATTATTTGGAAGAAAATCTGACTAGTAAATACCTATGCTGAAACATCTACCAATACCAAAATTAATCAGATCAAAATGTTTCTGTGAAAATGTGGTGTGGCAACCAAACACACAGAAGCAATCATGGTTTTATTCCGTTATCTTATGACTCCCAGCAAAATATCAGGTCATCGCAGAGAGCACTTTTGTAGGACTGAGTGACTAAAAAACAAGGAGCAGTCAATACAAAGTACTCTAATGTTGTGCATTTTGTATGAAATTAGTCAGTGGAAAAGCATATTGTCTTTGAAAATAGTTCAGTTCCTACCTCAGTAGTTTAAAACTTTTAAGCTTGCTATAAAATTAGCTTGTAGACAGAGTATCCTGGACATTTAAAGACCACTGTTGACTTACAGGGACAAAAATGGCAGTGAGAGAACACTGACCCATTTTTTATGAGGTCTGGATGCTCCCCAGTTACTTTAGAGATATATTTCAGTATGTTGTATAGTATTAAAATCATAGTTTCACTATAACTTATGTAGAATAGTTTAATAAACCTAGTTAGTATATTGGAATGATTTCCTTTGATTAGTAATTTTCATTTCCATGCCTTAGCAATCTGA